GGCAAAAGTAGACTGCAAATAATTGAGCCTGGGGAGCCAGCAAAGACTGGGCAAGCTTGGTGGAGGCACGTTGAAGCCAAATTCGTGTGGCCACTCAAATAACGCAGCTTTCGGAATATGGCAAAAGGGCCCGCAACAAAGTGTAGTCGTAGAAAGTGGCCTGAATACGCCTATAGGCTCCAAGGGGAGAACCAAATCCACAGGGCACAATCAGAGAAGCGAGACGCAGGTGCCGTACGCTGAGGGACAGAGACAGAGACAGAGACAGCAACAGAGACTGAGACAGTGATAGGACCAGTGTGAGTGCCGCTGGTCAATTGAAACGGTTCAAAGAACGTTGGCAACGTGAGTAATTCCCCTTGCCACGTGTCGTTTGGGTAACTCCTGCCCCTTTTTATTGACGCGCCCATATAAATTTCACTTTGGCAAATGGTTTTTATTGGCAACAGCGACTGGCAACACACCACATCGTACCAAAGTACGGCACAGACACAGCGTCGAGTTCAATTGCCGCCAATTGCCGCTCAACCGCCGACCCGGCTCAAAAAGGTTAAATTTGGAAAATTGGTACGTGATTGGATTCAAAGCGCAAAATAAGTGCGTCAGTTGGTTCGATGGAGGTCACCCATTTTACTTATGAAATGAAAAAAAAAAAACAAATAAAATAAAATCAAAAACAAAATGAAAATAACAAGAGGGAAAATCATTTCATAGAAAGGCGTACGCCAAATACCCTAGCATTTCGTTGTAGAGACAGAGGAGGTGATAAATAGAGAACAGAAAGAGCGAGAGAGAGAGAGAGAGAGAGAGAGAGAGAGAGAGATGCAGAGAGAAAGAGAATGTTAAGCTTTAATTGAGTATAATCGTATTGCATTTGAAGTTAAAGATTCCATATACCGATTATGATAAAACAATATTCATAGCTCACTTGAACTAATAATAATCTAAGGATGTTTAACCAATGTGTAACAGATTTCGTGAATGTGGTATATATGTGAAAAGTATATTTCCCGAGAACTTAGTTGAGCACGTTGATAGGTTATTTCGTATCTGGATTGGTTGGAAAGGTAATAAAGGGGTGAAATGAAGGCATATCTTGAGGCTGGTAAGGGCGGGGCTTTTGTGTTTGGTACACACATCTCTGTGAGCAGAGAATTGTAGCATATTTTCATTTTTTTTTTTGGCACGCCGGTCGCACGATTTGCAATAAGAAATTTGTGAGTGTTTTTTTTGTGGTTTGAAAAATTAGAACTTTTGCCAACAGCAAGCAGCTAAACGATGACGAGCACATGGCAAATGCCCAAGTATTACACACAAACACTCAAACATACACACATATATGGATATGGTTATGTTTGTGCTTGGGCCAGCATAGTTTGTGGTTGATGGCCTAGCCATTTGTTTTTTTGGCCAACACAAATAAAAAAGAGAAGCGCATAACCAAAGCCAAAGTCAGCTAATAACTGGGCAATAACCCTGACAGCGGCATGTTGTCAACATGTTTGCCTATCAACTGTGGCTGGGCCACCAGCGGTTGTCAACATTACGTATGAGTAATATGTCAACATAAATTTTGCACTGCTAGCTGTAAGTGTAACTGCAAATTTGAAAAAATAACGCAAATCTGCGCCATTTCAAATATATATGAGTGATGTATACTAGTTTAACTGAACTATACACTTCTGTTATGTTAATCAAATTTGTATTTATAGATTATCCTTACATGATTTTTTAATCAGCTGCTCCAAATGTATTCCCGAGTATTATTGTTAAGAAGAAGAAAGAGGAACAATTATATAAATATATATACCAAAGAGTCACAATTCCAAAATTTTAAGTTTTTTCTTTTTTTTCTATACTACGAAGTAATAAATAAATTAATAATAGTAAACACAAATAATTGTGTTTTTCACCTGAAAATCGATTCTTTACGGTTCATTCTGATCACATTCTGAAAACACCTTCTTCTTGTAAATAAGCTGCACTTTTTCATAAATTTAATATTCTGCGGTCAGTTATCAAATCATGACGGTTTATCTATTTATTTGTGGATTAGCTGTATCTGTGGCACATTGCTGACCACAATTCAACCGCAATTTGGTTTAAGATACATTCTGATAAAATCCATTTGGCAGTTGTTAGTTGTCAGCAGTCGCGTTTCAGAGCTTTGACAACATTTTTTTATTGCTTTTGATTAAAAAGTCAGCATAATATTTTCGCTATCATTATATAAATATATGCATACAAGCATATATCATGCATTGAACATATTATTTTTGTCTATGCTGCGGGCATTTGGCAATTTACAGATTTTGTTTTTGTTTTTCTTTGATGTTGTTTTCATTAATTTTATACCCCGCACGCGTAAACATCAATTAAAAGGGCTTAGCAGAAATGCATTCATCTAGGCACGCGTAAAATATTTCCATAATCCTATTAAAATTACGCTATTTTTTTTTGTTACTTAAGGTATGATGTGTTATCGCAAAGTTTTCGCTTTGGTATATGAAAGAAAAGCGGCATTAATAGTTACATTCATTAAATATTTTCATTAAGTCCCTTATTATATTTAATTAATGATAGTTGAAATCGATTAAAATAAATAAATAAATAACAATTAATAGGGTAGCACTTAGCTGCACAAACTGTTTGTATTTTTAAAGTTGTTTACATTTTTCGTAACTATAATTAATTGGCGTACACTTTGCGGTTGAGAATGCTGCCGTGGCTCATACATTAATTATGAATGCCATTTAAAAACAATAGCAACAAATTTAAAATGTATTTGAGTATTTCAAACACATTATTGCCCCTAATTTGATGCGTCAATTAAATGAAAGCAATCAAGTTAACAAAAAAAAAAAAAAAAAAAAAACAAACATTATATATTCACACCAAAATTATTAATCGATTCGTCAATTGATATTTGATTAGATCCAGACGCATTGAAGTGGTATCAGTAATAAAAAGTAATAAAATACATTGACATATTGCTGCTTAACTGGACAAATTTCATCAATATTTATAAATATATTTTCATATTAATCTTATTACAATCAGCAGGCGTAAGTATTTTCAGTATAAATAAATATGTGCGTAATCGACGCGAGCGTAAAAATGTTTATGTTTATTTTGCAGAGCACTCTTATCTCCGATTGCGTGTATACCTACACACATACACACATACATACATACATACATACATATGTATGTATGTATATGCAATGGCTTGTCGCAAGCTTGTGATTTCAGTTCGGTGACAGTTTGTGAATAATAATATACGTTGCCTTAGTTTATATTCACTTTTCAGTGTCTTTGCCTTCCAAAAAAAGAAAGGAAAAGAGATCACTTGAACACCTGCTTACATTTGGGTATGAAAAACCTTTTAAAGGGAAATTTAGCAGTAACATTAGAATATATTTAATAGGGGACAGGGTATATCGTAATCGAGCTCACTCGACTACAGCATTCTTTTACTAGTTTTACTTTTGAAGACTGCAATTGAATGGCAAAAGTGAGGGGGGTCTGGGCTTGGAGTTGCTTGTGTGGGTGGTGCTTGCAGGGTTAGCTAGGACAAGTGTTTCCAATTACAATTTGAATGTATTTCGTTGGGCAAGGTGAGACTGGGCGTGACCATGGTTACGCCAACTATATTCATTGGAAGCTGTGCACGCATCACAAATAACTCGATGATTGGCTAGAAATACCTGCAAGATGCGACAGATTAGATTTGGTGCTTGTTTAATCTCTGTGAGTGTGATGAAAGGCTCGCTGGCGTTGTCAACACTGATCCAGTCCTGACGCACTCATTCGCCATCTCGTTAACTGGCTGGGGATACCCAGATGATTGCGATTGAGTGGTGTCGTACTAGATTTAAAATTGCCATCGTGCTGAAGATAAGTTTGCTATTGATGGTGGGGGCTATGTGCCATGTCTTAATGACAGCTCCCGACATAGATTGATACGTTTCTTGAAATTTACGCTAAGGTACGCAAATGCTCAGTCATTGCTTAACTATTGCAAGTATTCTATTTTCACTTGATTTAAGGAAAATATTTTTTACAAATCTTTTGTAACATTTGTAATTCTCTAATTCTCTAATATCAATGTCATTTTATCTTATACAGTACTTGGATTAAGTGCTGTAGCATAAATAAATTTTCATCCACAGTTTGGCTCTATTTTGAATATTTTTACATGGTGATGATTATGGGAGGGCGGCACACTTTTTGGGGGCGAGGCTGGTTGGTTGAAGTGCTCTTCTATAAAACATCATTAAATCAGCGCAAGAGCTCACAATTTCAATCCACTGGTAACTGTTAACTGTTCGCCGGTAACAACAAGAGTAACAACAACCAGACTAGAGCTTGGCACTCTGAGCATTACAAATTACAAGTTTGCTGTCTGTCAGAAAATCGCAGCTCTTGGAGCTTAGAGCGGTGTGCAGCACAAAAAGCAGCTCGCAAAACTTTGACGAGTGCAAAAAGAGTGCATATAAAAAATCAGCTAGTAAATGGGTAGGCGAGGCGAGGCGAGTAGGTGGGCGACAGTGAATCGCTGGGCACGAAGGCCGGCTTGGAAGAGTGCGCTGGCAACAATTGCAATCTGTGGCGTTTTCAACAGCGCTTAATGTTGCCTACAACCGCAATGTCAGCCATTTATCATTCACCAGAGCTGCAACATGGGCTGACCCAAAGGCGGAGATGGGATCAGCGAGGCAGGAGGCTAGGACGGATGGACAGTCTGACGGAATGACAGCAGTCATACAATATAATGGAATGGAGGCAAAAAAAAAAAGAAGCAAAAAAAAAACAACTAAATTGACCTAACGAAACTGTTTCAGTACGCCGACAGCAGCAGCAGGAATACGATTAAGTATGAGCTATGCTCTTGGGAGGTAAATCAAATTGCTTACCAACTTCGAGTTATATTTTGTTTGCATTTCTCTCTTATAAGTTGCATTCTTGTGAACGCATTTGCCTGGCTGTTGAGCACTTACCTGAAGCGAGATAACAAATTGTATGCTGTCTATGAAAGTTAACCTGAAATGAGTTGAGTGCAAGACAGAGAGAGAGAAATAGTATAGTTGAGTTGAAAAATCTATTAAATGGAGCAACATATTTGTTGAATTTAAAATTGTAGTGAAAATGGAATTAACAATGAAACACTTATCAAATGTAAAAGAAAGTTTCTGCTAAATGTTTTTGGATACGTGCAATGCAAGCCAAAAAAATCATTGAAAGCCACATAAAGTGCAACGTCAAAGTTGTCGTCATAAAAAAAGTATAATTTGTTTAATTCAATTCAAGTCATACAATTGACTCACTTAGCATTTGAGCATTTAATTTCCTTTACAATTGCCGCATCAGATTGATCGTTATTTAAATTACGCTCAAACGCACATATTTTAAATAAATGAGTGGACTGTCAAAAAGCAAACAGCTTTGTGGCAATTTAATTTGCTTTAAGCCACCAGAATTCAGGTTTGAATGACATTATCCCCTTGTGAGCACGGTGCATGTGTGTTTGAACTTCGAATGAGCAGAATGCAATTTACTGATTAATTTAAGCGCTCTGGCAATGCATAAATTAATGCTTAATAACAGTTTGCAGGCTACCCAATTTGACTCTGGGCAGTACCGACTAGCTAGTTGCCAGCTAGTTGCCAGGCATCCGACATAAGGAATGTGTTATTTACGTACATAGTCACACTGAAACACACACACACACACACACACTCGTACATACGCACATAAATTGGTTCGCACTTAGCCAAATGACCGTAACAATATGCTTGTGGATTTGAAATTATTTGATGGAACGCAGCTCTAAAATGCATACACACATCTATATATGACCACCACAGCACAACAGTTATGTATGTGTGTGTGTGTGTGCGTGTCTGTGGTTGTATACCCTGTTCTCAAACAAAGGGCTAAGAAGTGTATTATTATTCGATTTCATACAGATTAAATATTCTTAGCTAAGAACAGCAGTAGTCATTTTAGTTGTGCCCTAAAAACTAGATGAGTCTCATGTCGTTTTAAGTTTTGTAAATGCGATATTGACAAATACACAGCCTGATTTAAAATCGGGTCTTTAAGGTAGTTAGGATTATTTTTGTTCGATTTGGTATACATTATTCTTTTTTTGTTACAGCTTAAAGTAAAACACTTGCTTCTGCTTGACCAGATAGAATAATATTGTAAATATGCGAGAATAATCATTTGATTGAGATGCCTATAACTCGATTACAGGCTGAGTACCGGTCGAGCACTCTCGCCAAGAGCTCTCTTACTTGTGCTCTTTATCTGCATGGGTGTTAAATCAGTTAGCTTAGGGCTGCTATAAAGCCATTGGCAAATGCTGCATTACGATCCATGACTATTGTTAGTTGTTGTTGCCCAATTTGCTGCCAATGCATTTGCATTGTTTTATTTACGAGCATGTTTGGAACTACAAATGATTGTCCATAGTTTGCCAGCTGAATCGTCAGTCTTAGTCAAGTTGCTAAGCGTTGCGTTATACATCAAATAGCATACTCCTACTCACACAAGCACACATACTCTAATGTTGTATGTGCTAATTGTGTTGGAATCGTAAATTAATTGATGTTTTGAAACGATAGTTGGCCCCTTGACAAATAGTGAACAAATGGGAACAGTCAAAGTGAGTGCACAAATTATATTCGCTATAGTATGAATAAAAGCCAATAATTACACAAATAAATTTTCAATATTGTAAATCAACTATATGCACTAAATAGAGCATGAGATATCATGTTATGATTACAAAAGAACTTGTATTACAACATTTGACCATTTTGGACAGCAAAGGTCACATTAATTCTTCCAAAAAGTGATGATAAACAAAATTCCACTAAAATTTAAGATCTCTATTGAGTTTTTGCATTTAAATTGTTTGAATATTTTCTTTTTTATTACAATTTAATGTGTTATTGTGTGTCAAATATGACACAATAAAGAACAAAATCGGTTTGATATTGCCATACAATGAGAATTCGATGATTTGAGTTGAGTTCAAAGTGTGAGTACAAATGCTATTCTCAGCACATTTCGCTGCAGGGCAAATGATGTTGGTATTTGTCAAGTGTTGAATTTCAAAAGCAGGTTGATATGACAATTTCAAATTATGAAATCGTCAAAATCAAATTTGTGGCATGTAATATTTTGATTACGGCTTTGTGGTTGCCAATTTGATAGAGGAATCAGCAGACAGCAATTGTAAGTCGATGAGAGAATATGAGAACGATGTATAAATTGTGTTTATATATTATTTAGTTAACTAATAGAAACTGACAACGCTCAGTGTTGGCGTATTAGCCTATTGCTGTTGCGGTTAACAGAAAAAAAACAAACAAAAAAACAGGCGAAACATTTTCAATGAAATCAAACAAAATGTCATTGCGAATAAAAATATTGCTGCTAATTATTGTTTGAGGCTTTTGTTATGTTGCCAGTGGTTGCTTTTATTGCGTATTGCGGTTTTTTGCGGGATTTTCTTTGCCCTTATCGACTTCAAATGCCCGACATTTAATGCCACTTAATTAATAACAACAGTTTGACTGCTTTTTTTCTCTCTTGTTTTTTTTTGTCTGCCACTTTTATTTGTTTGATCATATCATTTTTAAGGGCATTTCACTGTTGTGTTTTATTTATTTGTTGTGTAATTGTAATTTATTTGTTGGCCCTAAAGTATTAAATGCCAAAAATAAAAAAAGTATACCACAACTCGGTATGTGAGCGTGTTTGGCTGAGAGGCTCAGTGTCCATCACACAGTGACCATTATCGGGCCACAAAAGAGCTTAATGAAAAACAGTTAAAAACGTTTCCAGTTTCTGAGCTGAACCGTTCTGTCTTAGTTCAAAAATGGGCAATATTAATTATCATTGATTGTTATTATAACCCTGTTCCAAGCTGTTAGCCCCAATTAAGTTAAAATTATTTAAAATATGAAGAGAGGGGCTTCAGATTTAACGGAAAGCCACGACTCAGAATTGAATATATTTTAGAGTCTATCGAAATATATTATGTTATGCTTAGTATCAAGCTGCATAAAAGCAAACTTTTTGCTGTGAAAACATTTTGTTGCCAGTACGCACAGTGTTTTTTTCGTGGATGTTGCTTGACGTTGCCACTTCGATAAAAATTTTGTGTATAGTGTGGAAGGAACATACATTTTTATGGCTGAAAACTTTTCTGAGTTTACACATACGGAATAGTTGGACTCTCTGTGCATTAAGCCTTGGCATCCAATGCCCAATACCCAATACCAATACCAATCCACCAGCAACCCTCAAACTTCTACCGTTCTGTCTCACAACTGCTTAGGGCAAGTGCAAATCCCAATCAAACATTCAAAGCATAGCAAAAGCAAAGCCAAAAAGAAAGAAGAAAATTCCGCTGCTAGGCTTGGCGTACAAAGTACACAATAAATTTGCATGCCACACACACGTTTATGAATAGAAATTGTTAGCACAATAACATATACACACACAGAGACATCTAGTAGTCAAGGGTGAGAGAGAGAGAGAGAGAGGGAGAGAGAGAGAGAGAGAGTGTGAGTTAGGCATATACATATGCATAATGCCTAATAATCCGCGCATTGTAATATCTGTATTATATGGCAGTCGGCAAGAAGACGCGTGGGTGGCAAGGGGAGGAGGCGATGCGACGCTTGTTGCCGACATTTGCAACTGTGCATGAATGTCATTATGTGGCACGGACAGCTACGATTTGCCACTAGAACCTCTAAAAACACCCTCTACTCCCGGGCAATAGTACAATTCACAATGCCCCACACTGAGCGTAAATATTGTATAAAAATTGCAGCTTAATCACGCCCGAGCATGTGCATCTGAATGTGGCGCTGCCAAAGTGCCTTCAACTGCAGCTGGCAGCTGGAATCCAGCTAGCGTGTGTGTGCTCATGGTATGTGCACCCGTATGACGCCTGCCAGGCTGGCTGCGACAAGTGTCGCTGTTGCCGTTCCTATTGCTATTGCTGCCTTTGTTGCTGTCTCTATCTCTGTCTGTGTCTGTGTCGGTGTCGGTGTCTGTGTCTGTGTCTATTTGGCTGTTCCTAACGCTTGCCACTTCTGTGGCGGCTTTGGCAGTGCTCCACATGGCCGCTGCATTATTTGTGCTCATGTGTGGCATGGCCTCTCTGTTGCTATTTTGGCTGCCTCGCTGGCTTTTATGCCAGCAGATTTGGGTTAAAAGTAGCTCCCCTTCTGCATTTAATAGCTGTTCAGCCATCGTCATCGCTGGCTTCCAAATCTGAATTTGCATCTGCAACTGCAACGGCAACGGCATCGGCATCGGCATCTACATCGGCATCTACATCGGCGGCTGCAACGGCATGCATAATTTGTGGATACGTTTCTTGGTCTATTCTGGCCTTGCCTTTCTCACATTGTTGTGCCAATTGAGTTGTTGGCCCACTCTTCGGATTTCAATATGCATAGTTCGACGGTGTTTTCTACATCTTATATTATTATTAGTATCATCGTTATCGCATAACTTAACTTAATTACGATTTGCAAATAAAACCTAGTCTACAATGGTTTAGCATCGTTGTCTGAATTACACAGACCACTCAAAAGAGCTTGAAATTAGCTTTATATCTATTTCCAAACTCAAACTTATTATATCAGCGAATTGATCCGATAGACTTGGATCCATATTAGGCCATAATTAATGCGTATATAAATATATAATGAGTATAGGTTTAGTTAAAATGTGCCGCTGCTTATTCGATTATACTCAAATTAAGCACGAATTTATTTGAAAAATACCCTGAAATATTGCGGTATTGATGATTTCAAACCTAAAATAAGAGATGAGCCTTAAATATACTTGCAACAGTGTGCTTGATTCGATATTAAACAGTCGTAACTTTTGCTGGCCAGCTGAAAAGTGTCGTAAACATTCTGTCAATTTACCAAGAGCTGCTGCCGCCAACTAGCTCCTGTCTGCTTGCCATATTAATTATCCACTACACTATACTTTGTTGTAAATTT